GAGCCCCGCGGAAAAGAACATTGAAGGCACTTTAGTGATATTTAAATAGAATTTTTAAAAGTACTTTTTGAAATATCTAATTTAACATCCTCCAAAGAAACCAGTTTAATCCTATGTTTCTTCTAATGAAATTGATTTTCTCACAGTACATTTGTTTTGCAAAATAATGTATTGCCTTGCCCAGTATAGAATTTCTAAAGAAATATGCATATGCAAATCTTGAATTTTCTAACACTTAAAACTGGCTTACAGATCATCAAAGCCTTCACAGTCACTTGTTAACTGTATTAGTGAGAGGGGACGTCCAAGCAAAAAGGAAGGAGAGTAAAGTTTGCATGGGATAGTCCTCCCAGCGGCATGCTCACTGAAGAAGCCACTAAGGTGCCAGTGCCTGGCCTCCACAAGGTTAACCTCCTACGAGTTATGCATCACTCAAGGCAAATATCATTGGATTTCATTCCCTTTGTCACAAGGTTCAAACATCTATTGATTTTCATTTGCCTGTTCATAACTGAAATCCAGAGTAATTGTTGCTCAATTAAAGATTTCCTTCTCTTCCCTCTAGATACCATCTGTTTGAAACTACTGTCCCCAACAAAACACACACACACACACACACACACCCATGTGCACACACCCCACTGAATCAGAGATGACACACTGAGGTTTAAATAATATCCTCTAACAACTCTGACCAATTGCTCATCTACTTTTGAGGATTTCATTAGCAGACTTGGAAGAGTGATTCAGCAGTCGACAGCAAATATTTATAAAGTTGAAAAGTATCAAATATGTATAAATAGTTCCTGTAGAAATCTGTCTTTCATAGTTTTGACTTTTAGTAAATGTACCCAAGTTACTTTTCTTTTACACACATTTTAACATTATTTACATCCCCCAGTTTAAAAAACAGAGCTACTTCCATAAAATCAAAACAATAGTGAAATGTTAACTTTAACCTGCAATTAGTTATAACTTTTCTAATGTCCTTTAAAATATCTTTCTTGAAAAATATATACTTTACATCTTTATGTATAAAAGGTGCTATACAACTATTACTAATATCCTCTCATTTTCTCTATATAAATGATAATCTCAAGTTAACATAAAAAAACAACTCTGAGACCATAATTTACTGGTCATCTTATACTAAGGCATAATTACAAAAAAATTTATTATTTTTGAAAACACAATTTGGCAAATGTATTACATACCACCCAATCACCTTTTAGAATATTTAGGTGTTTAGCGATTTAATACTTTTATAAGTTGCTATGATACAAATTAAAATTGATATGAATTTGGAAAATTGGAAAATCAAGCAGTATATAAAATCTATTTTGATTTATAGATTTCAATGTTTTTAATATTTAACTAAATGTAAAAACATCAAATGACCAGTCATTTAAAAACATAAAGTAGAATTTTAAACCTATGTTATTACATAAATTATCAAGTAATTTTTTTCTTTATTGCTTCCATTTTAATTTTAATAAATTATCCCCTAAAGGTCACAAAAATGTGATTCTCTATGACATTACCTAGAACCACATAAAAAAAAATTATTAGTCTTTTTTAAAATGGGAAACTAAACATTCAACTTAAAGTCAAGTCAAAAGTAACCTGACAGTTTGATATAAAAATTTTACCTTAATATGTAGTATATCCACATATGGAACCTATATAATTAAATCCAGGCATTAATTTCCAATTCAACAAATTCTTGATAGAAGAGGCTGCCATATGATTTTAACCTCTTAAAATCTTTTCTGTTGCTACAGAATTAAAAATTGATGTGGTAAAAGCCTTTGTTGTAGGGAGGGCTAGAAGTTGGGTGTTTTTTTCTTTTTGGTATTTAATTCAACTATACACAATGTAGTACATACAAGCAAAATACAATTGAGATACTGTTTTCTTTAACATTCCTATAGGAGACCAAATTCATTTGCATTGGAGAGAACACAATTACTGATTTTTAAGTCATGAAAGACAAATTCATAGCTTTTTCCTACACTACCTCATAGTATTCACACCATCTCAGTGAAAGCATGTCTAGCACCAATTAGTTACTTCCTAGAAGTGGGCAGAAATTGCATTTTTCAAAGTTTTGTTTCTTACAGAATCATTCAACTTCAGTTACAAAGCACATTCAAGTTAGCATATGTCTTAGTTCAAAACAATTTATACTGTGTCTATACACACACACACACACACACACACACACACAACTAAACACTCATCGACATCAAAAATGAAATTTCTATCAAGGAAACTTCCACAGCTTTCAACAGAACTTTAAAGCTCTTACCAGTTTGTTCCTCATTGAGAAATCTTTGTTTCATATATACTACCAAGAAATATGAATAGAGAAAAAAAAGATTCAAAGATTTTTATTCAACGGAGCCTGAACCCAACTTAGAAAGAGAAATAGATGGTTTGTATATGGTTTACATTACAATAATTTGCATCTAATAAGAATGAAATACATGTGGCAAAAAGAGGAAAAAGAGTTTTCTATTTCTGAGTGACCTTAGAAAATAATGGTATCTAGTCTGTCTAACATAACAGCACATATAAACTGATATACCAAAGACCCAATTGGTAGGCAAATGGCATGCCAATAATTTCATAACTTAAGATAAAAACATCTCCTCCCAAAGTATCATTGGCTTAAAAAAAATCTATTCAGAATGTATACATTAAAACTGATTCTTGAGAATACAAAGAAATCAGAACAATATAAAGAGTATGAGCACTCAATTGCTGAATGATTATTTAAGTAAGCAAGCAATCAAGATGAATTGTTTTCTTCACATTTTCACTTCAGCTAACACAAAACCACATATAGAACTGACTTAACTCTGACAAATTTACTCCTAATGTGTTAATTTTCATAGAAATGCAACAAAAGAACACTAAAATAGTCACCATATAATATAAAAGCTTTGGTTTCAAATGTCACAGTACCCTTTTTGAAAGCCACCACTGTGGTAGTGCCCTGTACATGAGAACACACAGCTGCTCCATCCCAGGAGTCTGAGCTCAGTACATACCACTCATTAGCTATCTCTCCCTTAGCCTGCAGTACAAGTAACTAATTTCTGCATTTTAAACTAATAAAGGGGGAAAAAAGATTAAAACCATCCAATCAGAAATGATGTAACCCTCTACAGCAACAGCTTATGCATACATTTGGTATGTCAGACATCTTCAGTGTAGTGAATCATACACAGCACATTTTAATCTGCCTCCTAGGTATTTCCTATCGCCCACATGTTCAAAGAAATCATGCACTAATAGGGCTGTATAAGCCTTAGATTGCTCTTTATTTAATTAATACTAAAAATCTAGGATATGCTCTTAATTCTGAACTCTTATATAAACACCACAAAATTATTTAAATAACACTCCATCTACCAGCAAATTACCTCTGCCTTTTGAACAACAACAAAAAAATAGTATGTTTGTGAGAAGTTTTAAGAGATACTAATAACTTCAGATAAACTGGTTTTCACTTATATTGCAACATGAAATGAGACGCCAAAGTTAAAATAGCACTGAGTTTTACAAATCATAACCTAAAAAAAAGGACTCAAAACAGCTATATTGCCAATACAATTAGGCATTTGTAGAAACATAGCCAATTAAATATTTTAGGTGATCCTTTCAAACTTTGTTCAATATATTCAAATTTTCAAGCGTTGTAAAATTAATAATTTAAACTTACAACAAATAATATATCAGAAAGCTACAACTTGGATTTCTCAAGCAAAAAAATAAGGTATACAAATTTAGAATACATCTTTTCCTAGAGAGAACTAGCTATATATTACACACAAAACTGCAAATCACAACTTTTACCTTTTTTTAAAAAAATATTAAGTAGTTTTCTGATATGCCACAGAATCATTTGCAAACAAAAGATGTTCTTGTTGCTTAGTTAAGATAAAACATATCTGTAAATGTGCACACAATTTTTAAAAATCCTTTAACAAAATATCTAAGCATTCATTAAATTTGGGTAGTTGTTTTAAAATCTATTCAATCCTGGCAAAAATCAAGTAAATGATTACATTATTGAGTATCAGAGATTTTAAAGATAGTAAATCAAAGACTTAGAGTCTCTCCAATTCAGCTACTTAATGACTAATGGTGAAGAAATGTGTGTGAATGGGATACAAACTAAGTTACAACACATTGGAGGAAAAAAATCTAGAATAAGTAATAAAGGGTCCAAATTTAAAGTCCACAATGAACTTTAAAACAAAGATGTTGTTCATTCTCTCCTCCTGGACAGACATTTCTCATGTAAGCAAATCACAGGAGAATTCCAATCTCCACAAACCTTTTTACTCCTTCATTAACAACAGTGCAGTTAAATATAACTATAGATTTCATAGTGATATTAGGTTAGCCTCAAACATATCTTAGATGCAACAACAAAGCGCTCAGAAGCAATATTCAGCAGTCACAGTGACTCCAAAAGTCTGGCTTTTAACTGCTATCCAATCCAAACAACCCACTTCTTTATAGTACTATGCAAAATATTGACCCCTTACTAAATTATTTTATTATTCAACATTAAGCTAGCTAAAAAAGAAAACTAATTAATTGCTAAGTTTGGTTAAGCAATTTAGCTGACACAGTAAATATTTACTCTTAACATCTCACAGGAAGTCTTGACAAGCATTTGTTACCATTGTGCTGGGGGTAGGGATGGGAGGCAAGTTTTGACAAACAAGTTAAACAGTCCCTGCAAATTTAACATAGCTAGTGCTCGATACACACACACTACTCCCAATAAGGCACCAGATATTTTCCAAGACCGGTAAACACCTTATATAATGAAAGTAAATAATGTAACTTTCTAAACTATCTTATATCCAATAACAAAACAAATGCCTTTTTACAAAATTACAAAAGCACATTTTAAAAAACGGAGTGCATTTTTTACTTATACGTAAGCCCAATCACAAAATAACTAAGCAAAATATATTTACCTGAGCTTTTTAGAGACTGAGTAATCAACTTCCATGATTTTCCCATGCAATTCCACTTTACCTTTAAAACAGAAATTAAAGCACTCAGAACCTTCCTTGTATGAAACCGGCGGGGGTCTAGGAGGGGCACGCACAGAACTCCACGCTCGGGCTCCGCCTTCGGGCGCCCTCAAGGGGTCTCCTACCGGCTCCAGCTGGGCAAACTTGGTTCCCAGTGGGAAGAAAGATGGGCGCCCCGGCTCTGGGGACGACATGGGAAGGGTGTGAGCCAGGATCCGACCCCAGGTATAGCTGTGGGTGGCATTACCGGAAAAACAAATTTACTAAAGAGCGGCGCCAATTTGAAAGGATGAGCTCATTTGAAACTCAAGCTGCAGGGCTGGCGCGGCCCCGTTTCCCTCGGCCCCCACCTCTTCATTACGCTGCCCGGGGTCCCGAAGCCTCCGCTGCGCTCCCCTCCCAGCCTAGTCCTCCCCTTGGCCCCCAAAAGACGCGCAGAAGCCCCCTGGGGTCCACTCCTGCAAGAGGCTAGTCCCCGCGGGCTTCTGGGTGTCACCTTGGCCTCGCCGCCGCCCCGCCCCCACTCCGCGCGCTGGTGGGGAAGGGGCTCCGGCCTGTCCCCGGGTTCGTGGGGCGCAGGCTCGTGGTCTGGGGGCGAGCGCAGCTCCAGGCGGTGCGTGTGCGAGAGGGAGAGTTGGGGAGTGCGCGCGCGCGCGCGCGGGTGTGTGTCGCTCTCCGTCTCCCGTCTGGGCTCCAGCGCGCTCGCGGGGCCCCCCGGTCTCCTCTTTCCCGGTTCTCAGCCCGGGCCCCCACCGAGTTGAGACAGGGCACCTCGTAAAAAGGTGCTTCTGGCCGAGCGGGAGGCGGGGGGGCAGGCGGCGGAAAGCCCCCCGCCTCGAGTTCTTCTCAATAAAATCGGACAAAAAATTCAGAGAAAAATAGGAGCGCTTGAGAGACGAGCGAGAGGCAACTGAGGTTCGGGAGAGGATCGAGAGAGATGTGCCGTCGTACAGGAGCTGGGGCTGGGGGAGCCTCAAAACTTCAGAGAGGGCCATCAGGGTGGCGCCGAGGGGGTGCCGAAAGTGGGGGACTGCGGGGCTAGGTGGGGAGGGGGCTCGAAAGGAGAGTGCGGCTCCGGGACGCCAGAAGGCAGGAGGTCCTGGGCACGAGGCACGGGAAGGGATACGGTCCGATCAAGCGAGGAGATGCAGGATTTGGGGGGGTCCCTGACAAAAGGGGTGGACGGGGAAGGTTCAGTGAAGTGGGGGGACGGGGACTCTCTAAAGGATGGGGGTGGGGGAACTCTGGAGAGCAGCTCGGAGAGCAGGGGAACGAGGGTGCCTCCAGAGAGCGAGCGAGCATCGGGACCTCGGAGCCGCACAGGGGTCGCCCCAGGGCTGCCGCTTGGAGGGCAAGGAGTGAGTCCGAGCTGTGGGGGAGGGGAGCGGCGGTCAGAGCTGAGGGTCCGTTGCGAGGAAGGGAGCGTGCAGGCACCGGACCCCCCCCCCCCGCCGCCCGCCGGGCTCGGCCTCTCTTCGGGCGCCGTCCGGGCTGGAGCTGGGAGAGGCAGGGGGAGGGGGACAGCGCCGAGTGCTCACCCGAGAGGGTCTCGATGGCGCGGATGGCCCAGTTCTGGTCCGCGAAGTCCTTTATGCCTTAAACGTACTTCCCCGTGACTTGTCTCGCCGGGTTCACCTGCTTGTCTCCCTGAGAGGTGTCGTTTTTTTGTTGTGTGTTGGAATGGGTTCCCGTGTTCTTGGATGCTTATCTTGTCTCCCCTTTTTTTGTTTTTTTCTCTTTTTTTTTTTTTTTTTTTTTTTTTTTTTTTTCTGTCCCCTCTCTCCTCTTTTTTTTTTTTTTTTTTTTTTTTTTTTTG